ACTTTTATCTTATTAACATAATGTCAATAGATGCAGCTTACCAAGCTCTGTGAAAGGCAGATGAGCTGCACTGCCTTTGGTGCACTCTGAACTACTGCAAACTCTATTGTTTACAAGCACCTTATATGCTGAAACAATATATTATTTATTATGTATTTATTATATTTTATATATAATATTGATACAGGACAAGTGGCATCCCAGCCAGCGTGTGGAGTTGGGGGGAGTGGACCTACTGCCTGCACCTTGGTGATGTTGGTGCGGTGGCAGCGAACAGCAGAACCAGCAGGCTGGAGGATGGGCAGGGGGACCCCATTTCCTAGGCCTGGGAATGAAAGGGATTGTACCATTCATTTGCAACCCAGACACAACCCAGACACGACCCAGACATGATGTCCTAGACATGATGTCCCAGACACACTAAATGTAACTACCAAGCCCTGCTAAATGTAACTACCGAGGGCCAGACATGTCCCAGACATATTGTCCCAGACATGACCCAGACATGTCCCAGACATGATGTCCCAGAGCTAAATGTAACTACCGAGGGCCCCATGCCACTATCTATACTGCTAGACAAAGAGCCTAGAGACAGACAGACAAGATAGAGCTTTTCTATCCCGACTTGGGTTTTCTCTGCCAGGAGCTCTGGTGCTTCTGTATTCTTTTCTATAAATAAATCCTGTCTTATCACTGATCTGTGATCTGTGGATTCATTCTTCGAATCACCAAAAACAAGAAGCTACTGGAGAGTGAATTCTGGTATCAATATATTATATAAATATGTATTTCTTGTATATATATTATTTAATAATATATAATATTCCTGCTTCCCCTGAAAATGAAGAAATAAATGAAGAACAAAATGGGACAGCAAATGGGTTTAGTGAAATTAACTTAAAAGAGAAAGAAAGCTTGGAAACAGCGTCTCAGGGGTCTCAAAACAGGGCAAAAATAGAAACCACTGAAAGAGACCTAACTTCAGGTTATGGACAAACACCGAAATTGTACTTTAGGGAATTCAGCCTCTAAGAAGAATAGTCTTTTTGTTTTTAACCATAGGTTCAACAGACACTGTTAGATAAAGTAAATATTTCTTTTTTTAGAGAGACAGTTTCACTATGTGTCACTTTATGGTAGTGGCATCACAGCTCACAGCAACCTCCAGCTCTTGGGCTTACGCGATTCTCTTGGCAGCAGCTTCCCGACCAGCCATGACCACAGATGTGGGCCCCAACGCCTGGCCAATTTTTTGATGCAGTTTGGCCAGGGCTGGGTTTGAACGTTACACCCTTGGTATATGGGGCCTGCGCCCTACCCACTGAGCCACAGGTGCCGCCCAAAGTAAACAATTTCCACAGGGATATTTGTACCAGGATCTCTACTTCATTTCACAACGCAGCAATACATGTACACGTCAGCTTCGCTGATGGCATTAAAACAGGCTCTAGTCTAAGCATGAAAGTAACACTGCTAAGGGAGTAGTTTCAACTTCAGGAATTGACTTATGGAACATATTGAATTGATAACCTACAAATTAAGGTATTATTTTATAATGATTTTGCATTTGTAGCTGGAATGTAGTCTACCTTGCAATTGTGAGAAATTTTCTTGGGGAGGGAAAATTAGGATGGGATTCTCTTTTTTATAAATGGAAGGATTTCTGTGAACGCGCATTGCATTATTATTTACAACCAATCCCTTAATCTTTGTTTTTGTAATCATTTACAAATTTTGCAAGAACAATGACACATGGAATGTTACATGACATCAGTTCATTTTACAACTTTGAAATCACACTTCTTCATCTTTGGAGATGTTAATTTAGCCTGATATGTTTATCCCTACTTTATAAAAGCTACTTTGATGAATGTCCACATTTACTTTGATGTAAACTGCTAAGACTATATCCAATTATTTCTACTTTGAGGAAAAAATATAAAACTTTATAAGAAATAAGAAGTAACATGGAACATAAGAATATAACATAAAATAAATAAAACATTTCCTGTAAATTTTCAAATTAATAAACAAAATAATATTGTTAAGGATGCCAAAAAGGCAAATACTACATCACTGCTCTGAAATGTTACCCCATTACTTCTAAAATCTAATTATAGATTTTACTTTTGAACCGGGTTAAGTATAATGCCTACTTCCATATAAAATAAATTATATGTATTTTTGTACAAAGGAATAAGTGGTTCAATTCATTATGCAAGAATTTCTGGTCCTATTAACAGAAAGATAACTGTTCAGGATATGCCTGGTGCTCTAAAATCTACCAATAACCGTGTAGAACGTGAACCAACAGCATTGCCTGTGAACTTGTAAGAAATGTAGAATCTCAAACCCAACTCAGATTTGCTGGATCAGATTTTATATTTTGACAGAATCCCCAGGTGCTGTCTGTACACAAAACTTTATTGCTAAATGATAAGCTTAGGATTGGAAGAGAGTATCGCTTGCAAAAAAAAAAAAAAAAAAAAAAGCAGGAAAAATTTAGACCACAGGGGAAATGTCATCTATAATTGCTTCTTTTCTTAAGAGCTAGTTTCCCTGAGCAATGGAAATCTTTAGGGAATATTCGCTCCATATTGCTGGGTACCCGGCATATTTAAATCATGGCATACTTTGTAGCACAGCCATCAGAACTGCTCAGGGGAGTACTTGCTGTCCAGATGTTGGAGAGACATAAACTGAAAGGTTACAGCTGTGCATGCTGAGTTGTGATGCAGCCCAGCTTCCAAGGTGGTTCTGAGACCAGACTGAGGGGTTCGCCCTGCCCACGGGGGACACAAAGGACAGTATGTTTAAGTTGTTCCATCCTCTCGCTCAGCATTTTGCTACCTTTTTTTCTTGTAATCTCACAGCACGTTTGAACCTACAGTTAAACTTTTATAGCATACTTAAATTATGTTGATCCAAAAAAAGAGCAAAAAATATGTATACTTACAGTGCTTCAAACTTCTTATGAAAATTATTTAATTCATAATCTTTATCAATTTTTGCAGCACACCTACGATCCTCATAACACACCAGTGTGCTGTGGCATAACAGCTACTTTATAGCCCAGCTCACAGTCTAAACTAGTACTATGTTAGAAATTACAAGTGGTTTTTTAAGCTTGTATGCAGAAGTTCCAATCTACTCCAAGGGGTTGGGAACATTTTCCCTATTGTAATCTTTGAATGAGACTTAGAAGAAATAAAACTTCATCAGGCAATTAAGAGAAGGATTTATTCAGACTATTTCAACTAAAAGGAAGCATAAATAAAAATGTAGATAGCTAAGAGAATGTGACATACTCCAGAAACTGTAAGAAACCAAATGTGAACCAAGGCTGGAGAGTGGCTAGAGGTTGTTGGGATATTCCTATATTATCTTAAAAGCAAGAAAGAGAATCTTCTCTAGGGCCTTTTAAAGTAGATCATCATCTAATTTAACACTGAATGTATTCAAGGATTAGGAATAAGTATCATGATCCATTCATGGCATTCCAGTTTCATAAATCTCAAGAATCAAAGCTTTCATAGAGGTTATTATCCATCCTATTCTAGAAACTGTATTTCTCTAGCAGAATCTCAAACAAATTTCTTTATCAAAAACTCACTTAATGGACTTAATGAATTATGATAGTAAATAACTGAGCCCCCATTTTGTGCATGAGTTATACCAAACATATAAGCAGTATGCAAATAATTTTCTTAAGCTACATTAAGTACTTAAAGCTTGCACTGCTAAACATCAACCTATTTGTGTTGTCTGTCTTCAGGGTAGGCATCCACTATGCAGGTGTAGGCCTTTCTGTCTGGGTTGTAATAACTTGGGAGGTTTCTCTGGACTATGGGTTGTTTATCGTCTGCACATATCGTGATGATATATACCATCTTTCATCTTTTACAATTTAAAGAAGTATAATGGCTGAAGACAATGCCTTTAAAGTTTCTAATGGCCAATGACCTCAGATCATATTTTGATAAAATGATTTATCACAGCAAATACATATTTCAGAACCCCAGAGGTAGAATCTGTGGAGATTTGATTAGCATGAATCAGCAAAAGAGAAGATATTTGGAAATAAATAAAAATGACA